AAATGAATGAATGAAATAAACAATATCCTACTTAATAATAATAATAATAATTATTATTATTATTATTATTATTATTTTTATTATTATCATCATCTCATCATCATCATCATCATCATCATCATTAATATTAATAATATTATTATTAAAGTAGGATTTTTTCCATTTCCTAATAAATATTAAGTTTAATTTCTTAATAAATAGCCTCATTTTTTATTTATTTATAATTTATATATGTATATTTTATATAAGTGATTTTATGTTTTAGAAAAAAATAAGGCACATTCTCAATAATATTAGTAAAGGAAATCTATATAGGCCCTATATGTACCGTTTACATATATTTCAATTAATATGGAAAAGGAGTGCATGTTTTTATCAAAACTAATATTGTATTTTTTTAATGCGCGGCTGTGTAAAACTACAATTTGCACAAAGAAATTATGGGGTTCTTCTCAAGACAAGTAAATACTCCACCCCGTTTAGAGCATCATTATGGTTGTTTTATGTTATAACTAATGTGTTTAACGTAAAGTAACTATAGGTTTTGTGAGAAACTCCTCACTACATCGTTCTTTTCCCAAACAATGCATCGAACTATGATAGTTCATCGCGCCCCTGGTTGGTTCACTAGTTTGTCCATTAAAGATGCAGTATGTAAGTTTGACACCCAGTGGTGTCAAAACAAACACAAAAGCAATGGCACCGGATGGAATATTTCTCCATATGAAAATAAGTTTTTGTCCTAACCAACACCTTAATTAGATGTATTAGAAACGGCTTCCATTTCTCACTGGTGAACAACAAAACACTATGACATTGATCACCTCAAGTAATAAACCTCAAGTGCTTTATTCAGTGTTAGTTTTGAATGCCATTTTACATGACAATTATCGCCATACTACTAAAAGCAGCAGCAGATAATTCACCTCAGATCTTGAAAATAAAATAAACCTATTGAAATTGAATTTTAGAACTAAACACATGAGTGATTTAGCATGTACAATTCATAATATTAAAGAGGTTTAATGTGTATTAATTAATTATAAACCTTACCATTTTGTGAGTGAGTGATTATTTTTTATTTAAATTTTTTTTTTTTTTCATTTTTATTGTTAATGCCATCTTTCCAACCAAATCATGCATAAACCACCCTATTTAAATGCCGGTTAATGTAATATGAAGGTGTGAGTGATAATAATACATTTGTTTCAAGCATGAGTGAAAGTGTTTTTGTGAGGAAAAAAAAAGGTTTGTTGTCTAGTTGTAGTACTGTATAACAGACAAACACTTTAAAACCAATCAACTTTCTCTTGGTCAACACTGAATTTAGGTGAAAAACTTCCTGCTGCAAAATCTAAAAAGAAAATGTTTTACTCAAGCAAAATTCTGTGAAATTACTAGATTCTGTGAAATTGCTAGATTTCACACTATTTTATTTATTTAACAATAGCAAGTGACAGAATAAATCTTTAACTCAACCAACTGTCAAAAAATGCCTTATTCGTCATGAGGAAAATAGCTAACACCGTGTCTTAACTACATGAGCACAGAATGACAAGACCTAAACAATAACTAAAGGCAATAAAACTTTAAAAACTGTCATTTTAGACAAAAAAAATAGCTTACATTATCAAATAAAACCCAATGTAGGCCTACTGGGCAAAAAGGGGATGCCTCTCAGACAATTTTAGAAGCTGTCATTCATTCATTCAAACCATACTTAAGGTTTTGTTCCGTGTTTATCCTCATTTCATCCACGTGGGATAAAAGAACAGCATCTTAACTTTGTCTTTTGTGAAATGGAGTTGCCGTTTATTGTATAGTAAATCTGACTCATTCAAAGTGTCGCTACGTAAAATCACGATATGAATGCATGTTACACTTTTGACTGCACACTGTGTTTTCTTTTTCTTATAATGCACAGAGTTTTGAGGTAAGGAACTTTTTTATTTGCCACTTTGACAGTCGGACAGGCTCATCCAACACAATCTCATGGCAATTCGTAACTTTTTCATTTAGTGGCTAATTCGTATGAATTCGTACGATCTAATTCGTACAATTTAGTACGATTTGCTTATCCCCCAATGACGGTTGGGGTTAGGGGTGGGGTCAGGTGCCACGCCTCCTTTTAAAAATCGTACCATTTCGTACGACTGAACTCGTACGAATTAGCCACTAAACTGGCAAAACGTAAAATACTTACGTTTTCTCGTGAGATCAGGCTGGCTCATCCAGTTCATCAAACTCCATCTTTTGAAATCGAAAGTGGAATATGTCTCCTCATAAAAGCAATAAATAAATATGAATTGATTTGTTAAAAACCATTGATTCATTCCGGAATGATACATGATTTGTTTGTATTTTTATTGGCTGAGTAAAACCATATAAGGCAACTGCCAATTTTTGAGTATAAAACATTTCAACATGCACTGTTTATTGAACTGTTGTATAATAACAACACCACAACTGCGCTTTTGAAAACCCATATCTGATCAAGCTACGCAATATAAATTAAGATGATGACACAATGTGTGACCTCCACAGACTTTGAACCTAATAGAAAGCAGAGGGGATGGCCACACTAAATAATAATCTCAAAGTCTGGACTGTGTCTGACAGTTACCCTAAAGAGAAAGCCTGCATAATGCATTCAACATTCTGAGTGCTGTGGTTTCATAAACTGTTATTTCAGCTCAAATGCTGCTGACTCACAGCATTCACAAACGTTTCTACTACACATAAGCAAGTTGAATAAGCAGATCACAACCTCCTTGTGTCATTGCTTTAAATAAAGCGATTCTGTTTAACATTGACTGGATTGTGGGCCTTGTGGCAGTGGGCCAGAGTCACTGGGTGTAAAAACCCAGAGAGAGGGAGCCGGGGCAGTGGCACTGACATTCCAGGCTGTTTTTGCCAGCTGCTGGCCTGAGTCCAGTGCGTGCGGTCAGGCCGTGTTTACATCTGTCTGGGCTTCAAGCAGCCACAGGTCTCAGAACAGCACAGTGGATTGAGACAGGGCAAAGGGGACGACACCCAGACTGTAAACATCAACCATACACTGATGAACGTGTTGAAATCCGGCGGCCGTGAACGTTGCTCCTCAGCCCCTATGGTTTATTTTCACTCTGGTTTATTGATTATTTTTTTCTGGTTTGAGCTTGCAAATGGTTGCAGAACAAACGTGTGGATTTGTGTTGATGCATGTCATGCGTTAATACCTGGAATTCTCTGAGTTCTGTGTGTTTGTTAAACAATGAATGGGTGAGACAGAAAGAGACAGAAGGAGGGGTAATGTGTTATTTGAGGGTTAAAGCAACGAGGCATTCAAAAAGGAGTCTAAAATACAATTTCTGGCATCATTTACTTGCTCTCATGTCCTTCCAAACCCATATGAAACACAAAAGGAGGAATTTGAAGAATCTTCTTACAGCCTATTTAAATGTTTTTTAAAGAGTTTTTTTTTTTTTTTAAGGTACACCTGTCCAACTGCTCGTTAACACAAATTTCTAATCAGCCAATCACATGGCAGCAACTCTATGCATTAAGGCATGTAGACATGGTCAAGACGATCTGCTGCAGTCCAAACCGAGTATCAGGATTGGGAAGCATGGTGATTTTAATGACTATGAACATGGCATGGTTGTTGGTGCCAGATGGGCTGGTCTGAGTATTTCAGAAATTGCTGATCTACTGGGATTTTCACGCACAATCTCAGGAGTTTACAGAGAATGGTCTGAAAAAGAGAAAATATCCAGTAAGCAGCAGTTCTGTGGGTGCAAATGCCTTGTTCATGCCAGAAGTCAAAGGAGAATGGCCGGACTGGTTTCAGCTGATAGAAAGGCAACTGTAACTCAAATAACCACTCGTAACAACAGAGATATGCAGAAGAGCATCTCTGAACAAACAACATGTCGAACCTTAAGGCGGATGGGCTACAGCATTAGAGGACCACATCAGGTGCCTTAAGCAGGTCGCACAACAGAAGCGCCGCCATGCATTTTAGAATTCTAAACATAGGTTTCTATCAGGATACACACACCGGCGCCGCAAGTCAGCGGCGCCCGGCCACGGCTCAGGACGCAGTTCATTTTTCAGAGCGCCATCTGATTAGTTTCATGTTAAATATCAGTCGAATGTGCGCGTCTGGTGTGCGATACTGTAAACTCATGTGCGCGCCGTGTCGCGGCGCCGAGCGGCGCTTCTGGTGTGCGACCTACTTTAGCCTGTCAGCTAAGAACAGGAAACTGAGGCTTCAATTTGCATAGGCTCACCAAAAATTTGACCAAATTGGACAATAGAAGATTGGAAAAACATTGCCTGGTCTGATGAGCCTCGATTTCCGCTGCGACATTCGGATGGTAGGGTCAGAATCTGGCGTCAACATCATGAAAGCATGGATTTATCTTGCCTTGTATCAATGGTTCAAGCTGGTGGTGGTGGTGTAATGGTGTGGGGGATGTTTTCTTGCCACTTTTTGGGCCCATTAGTATCATTTGGCCATTGTTTCAACTCCACAGCCTACCTAGTATTGTTGCCGACCATGTCCATCCCTTGATGTCCACAGTGCACCCATCTTCTGATAGCTACTTCCAGCAAGATAACACATTATGTCATAAAGCACAAATCATCTCAGACTGGTTTCTTGAACATGACAATTAGTTCACTTTACTCAAATGGCCTCCACAGTCACCAGACCTCAACCAAAATAACCTACATAATATATACTTAAAATTGCTAGATGTAAAGTCAGAAATGCAAGACATGAATATGAATTATGAGGGGAACATATCAGAAATCCAAAATTTAATGACAAAATTGAGATCAAACAAAAAAAATGTAGTTTTAGTGTTAACATTTTCCCATAATTGGGAAATATAAACTCAGACTTTCTGTTTTACAATTCAGAGTTCATATTTCATAATTCTAACTTTTTTTCCTAAAACTGAAGGGCATGATGTCAGAACGCCTTAATATAAAGAAACAAACAAAACAGTCATTTGCATCTTTCAGTTCGTTTTATTTTAATATTTTTCACCACCAAGAGAGAATTGAGAGATATCATCTCATGTTTTCATTTCAAGCTCATGTTTAAAAAGTATATCAGCCAGTACATGCTTGAACAAAGTATATATTGTCTGACCCAGTTGAAGATTTCGGTCTTACTTTTAATTATCTTCATATTGCTAATTTTCTCATTAATCACAACATGTAATAACAAATTCTTCGGGGCTTAAATTAAATAAAAAAACTTAAATATTTTTTTTTCTACCAATATTCAGAAAGAACAAAAATAAAAATAATAATCCCCATAAAACAGTTCATATGACTCATTCTCTATTATTTAAATGCTTTTTGACATCGATTATTACAATAAACACCACTGATCCCTGCATGATTTTTAACAAAAAAAAAAGTCATGGCATCAAACCTGTCATAAAAGATTTCATATTGTCCCTATGTTTGTCCCACAAAGCCATCACATGACTTGAGAAGACTTTAAATATAGCACGTATATATAGTCTCATGGAATGCTGATGTGATGCTTTTTAAAGCTTTCTGACAGATGGAAAAGGCTGCAGGAACATTCTTAAAGAATTCTCTTTTTGTTCTGCAGCAGCTTATGTTTTGAGATGAGACTCTTGGCATTTTGTATAAAGGCAAAGGCAGATATAGAATAAAATTATTAGAGGTTGAAAAATGATAAAGAAAAGAGTTTGTTAATCTTATTTCCACAGAGACCTGAGGGAAAGCACAGAAGGAGGGGGAGGCTGATGACTAAGGCGAGGAAAGGCATCATTTCTTTAGCTTTTCTGTGATTCATCTGGGGAAAAGATTCCACCGCGGATCAGAAGCTATGGAGAATGATGGAAAAGTGGCATTAAAGAAAAAAAAAAAGAAACGATTAGAACAAAGCAGCGAAAAACAAAAGAGACAGTGTCCAAGATTGTGATTCTTTCTCACACCTTTTAACTTTTATTTCTCACTCCATGTTTTTCGTTTCTCACTTCTGTAGCACTTGGACTCATTTATTGCACTTGGTTCAATCAAAGTTTTTTTGAAACGAGAAAAAAAAAGTATTTTAACACTTTGGGAAGAAAATGCGAGTGGTGATTGCCCATACAAGACCTGCCAACATGATGGTATAGGATGTCTGCCATGGCATTTATGTGGTTGCTATGGTATTCTGGGAGGTTGCTAAGCAGTTCTTTAAGACTTGGATAAATATTTCATGGATGCAAAGAGGAAATGGGGTAAAAAAAAAAAAAAAAAAAGAGGTGAGAACATTGCGTGGTTTGAAAACTTGGTACTATTTTTGGTCCATGTGGTGCACCACTACATACTCATTTTACTTTTTACATTGCATCTGCCTGCACACAAAAGATATATAAAAAGGTGTTTGATGTGTTTTATGCAAGGCAAAACAAACTCACATTACCAAAACATAATAATAGTAATAATTGATTCAAAAATTAAGGTTAAAAAATACTTCTAGACACTTCTATACAGCTTAAAGTGACATTTAAAGGCTTAACTGGGTTAATTAGGTTAACTAGGCAGGTTAGAGTAATTAGTCAAGTTATTGTATAACAATGGTTTGCTGTGTAGACTATCGAAAAATATATAGCTTAAGGGGGCTAATAATTTTGACCTTAAAATGGCTTTAAAAAATTTCTTTTTTAAATACTTCCAAATGATGTTTAACAAAGCAAAGACATTTTCATAGTATTTCTGTTTTGGTTTTTTTTTTTCTTTCTGAAGAAAGTCTTATTTGTTTTATTTCGGCAAGAATAAAAGCAGATTTAATTTTTTTTTTTACATTTTAGGGACAAAATTATTAACCCTTTTGAGCTATATTTTTTCTCGATTGTCAGAACAAATCACTGTTACACAATAACTTGCCTAATTACCCTAACCTGCCTATTTAACCTAATTAACCTAGTTAAGCCTTTAAATGTCACTTTAAGTGGTCTAGAAGTGTCCTGAAAAATATCTAGTCAAATATTATTTACTGTCATCATGGCAAAAGATGAAATAAATCAGTTATTAGAAATGAGTTATTAAAACTATTATGTTTAGAAATGTGTTGAAAAAAATCTCTCCAATAAACAGAAATTGGGGGGGAAATAAACAAGCGGTCTGAAAATTCAGGGGGGCTAATAATTCTGACTTCAAATGTACACACACACAGCTCAGCATATTTAAGTGCACCCCATTTTGAAAATTAAATTTTGATCCATTTCTCTGTGAATATAGGCAATATATTTTGGTGCATTTAAACAAAACAGATTTATTAAACAGATATATTTATTCAAATAATATTTTAGTCATCAAATATATTTAGAAATTGAAATATAATACAATTAAATTCAAGCAAAATATGTATTTTTTTAAATTACAACCTACAAAATTTCAACTAATTTTTTCAACTTTTTTTGCTTCTCTTGATTTTTCCTCTTTTTAAATTTGCATTTATTATTTTTCTATAACATAAATTTGGCTGTACTATTTTTCGTACTGTTATCCTAAGTTATTTTGTCAGATAAGCTCCAGATCTGGCCTCAGTACTGACTAATCTAATGTATATGCACAAATATAATATTGTAGAGCTTCCTATAAAATATGTGAATTCAAAAGAAAGATTTTTGAGGGGTGTACATATATATATGCTGTAAACTGTATGTGTATATATACATATTATAACTCAAATGTAACTAGTAAATGGCCTGTAAAAAAAAAACATAGCCTAAATGCTTGTGTAATAAATTGCAATAAATTAATCATATAAAAATTCTAATAATTTTTGTAACATTTCCATATTTTGCAGAATAACCTTACATTTTCTTTATGGGTATGATTTCTCGAATCAAATATGTGATTAGCTTGATTTGAAATAATTAATTACTACATTATGTGATTAATTAGATTTAAAAAAGATTGACAGACAGCCCTTATAAATATTATTTCATACTTTTTTGTCCATTACTTTCTTCATTATGACAACAAATGTATTCTATTTCTACTCAGAGCATTTTTATTAACCCTGTAAGACCCAAGATATCAAAAAATAGTCAGAAAATTATAATTTTCTGGAACTGAGATATTTATTAAACCATCAAGCGAAATCAAAAAAAAATTGCCATGTATCATGATGTTTTGTTTTGTTTTTTGTATCACATTTGATACATCAGTTGTTTGTGCATCTTTTTGCTCACAACAATGTAATTTTAATCAGTTAATTAGTTTTTTCCTTAACATTTTTACAACAGAGAACATTTCAGGCAGCTTTTCTTTTGTTTTTGCCGTTACCTGATATACCTGTTGTATATCACATAATGTACAACAGGTTTTTAAACAAAGTATTGATTAGGTTGATATTTTATAGGTCTTGTGCATCAAATATGATACATGCGGCTTTATATGGTTAAAATACTTAGGTTTATAACGGTACTGTTTCTCTCCTCATCAAATGAATAAACACTGTGAGATGTTGAACTTGTAATTAAGATGCTTTGTGTCATGTTTAAAAATATGAATTTGTGTTGTTTAAAATCTTTATTTTAAGTAAACATTCATTAAACAGCCTGCAGGTCAGTCCAAAACAAAAGGTATTTGCAACACTAGAGGGCAATATATGACTAGCATGCGCAACAACAAAACTCTGTATGGTATATTCAGCTTTTTTAAACATTTGTCAACATTTTGTATTTTGAAAAGAGAGTACAAATGCTGGGCTTAATGTCCTTATATACACAGAGAGTGTTTGTCAAGTTTAGGAGACACCAAACCATTTTAAGTCCAACACCAGAGGGCAGTCTGTATTATAGTCCATCGAAGCCCTCAAAACAAAATCATATTACAAGTTCTTAAAATAATTGTCACCTACTAAATGTTTAAAAGGAATGAAGGATGCAGAGAAAAATAAAAGGCTCTTCCAATAAAATAAAATAAATCACATTCAAAAAGTTTCCAGTCATGTTCATTCCTCAGCAATCCGCATCTCTGGACTCTCTATAACTCACGTCTGTTTAGATTTGGTTCGTACCGGCTTTATTGACATGAGCAGCATTGATGGGCGAAGAGCGCCTCCTCTGGTCAAATCACTCCATTGACAGCTGCACACTCTCAGACTGCGACTGCTGCTGGTCATATTTACGAGCTGAAAAACCAGACATCAAAACCAAAGGCTCTAATTACAATCTTACAAAATTACTACAATATCAGTGGTGCCACGATCAAAACCGGGTCATACATACAGCAATGCTAAAGGTTTGTTTATTAAACAAGTTCTTCTACTGGTGAATATTTTCATGAACAGATTTAGCATGTTACTTAAATCACTTTTGCTTTCAGGACGAAAGTTATATTCCATGTGGCTGGATAATGTGTTTTAATGGACAGCTGCTTTTATACTTTTTAAAATAGATGGACTAAAATGCATCTGAGAGGTTTCAACTTAAAGGATCTTGCACCGACATGTCTTAAAATAAAGCTGCATCATTGTTTTATCACATGATGAAACATATAATGTTTTTAATAATATATATTACTCAAATATCAGAATTGAATTATGGCAAAATCCAGGCTTAACATCAAGTTTTGTCAGTAAAGCCAGGTCTTTAGAGATAAAATACATGTATAATGAAAACTGTAATGACAACTTACAGTGGGCTTTAATTGATTTGCAACCACTGAATATACCAATGAAAATTAAGATTTCATTAAAAAAGTGTTATTAACAATCTAAAACAACAAAAGTGTTTTATAATTTTTGTCATAAACGAATAAGCTATAGAAATTAACATTCAAATAAAAAATAAGAACCAGTGTTTAAAAGGATATTATATTTTATATATTTTATTCACTATACATGTGCTTAATACTACAATACTATATAAAGAAAAACATTAAAGGGCAAACAAAGTTTATTGCAATGCAGCAAGAATTACTAATGTGTTTTGTGTGTGTGTGTTTGTGACATATCAGAACAAAAATCTGTATTGACATAGGTATGACAGGTATTACAAACAGGTGGAGAAATATGAGGACATTGCGGACATCCCCATTTTTTAAAAAGCTTATAAAATCACACGGAATGACTTTCAGAAAGTAAAACTGTACACGGTTTCCTCTGACGGCTGGGTTTAGGGGTAGGGTGGGGTAAAGGCAATAGAAAATACAGTTTGTTCACTATAAAAACAATGGAAACCTATGTAATCTCCCCACAATTCACAAAAACAAACGTGTGTGTGTGTGTGTGTGTGTGTGTGTGTGTGTGTGTGTGTGTGTGTGTGTGTGATTTTACCAACAGTTTTTTTTTTTATGTCTAATTTTGCGTAATTCCCGTCCACCATCAACAGTCCTCATCGGTTTCCTGTGCAGCACATGCAAATTGCTATGGTACCTTTACACGTTTGGGAGTGGCGCATTTATTTTGAACTGTGATCAAGACTGATTGGAACTACCTGTGCATTACAACGAAAATAATGCACACCCTCCAGCCAATCAGAATCAAGAATTTTAACAGACAATGGAATAAAGTGATTTTAATCCTGTCATTTAGCTCTAAGTCTCAGGTAAAATATGTCATTTGTAACCCCATCCACAAAATAGTGGATTACTCTGTTAATATTCATTCATGCCACATAAATTATTATTTTACTAACAGCTTCATTATTACTATTATATTATTTACATTTCCTGTATTTTCACTTATGTTATTTCAAATTGTTTTGTTTATTTATTACTGTTTTGTGAATATGGGAGAACAAAATGAGTTTCATTAGAAAGTTAAAAACTACAGCTTACAACAGATCGAATATATTTTAAAATCTTTGATTTGACAGTTGATTTTAGGGTTTTTTAATATTTGTGTTGTAAAACAAGACAATAATTGTAGTGTTTGCAAAATTTATCGTCATGACTTTAATTTAAGACTTAATTTTAAATTGGCTAAGCAAAATTGTCCAGTGTACTTGTGTAAATAAGTGTGTATGGATGTTTCCGCGAGATGGGTTGCAGCTGGAAGAGCATCTGCTGCGTAAAACCTGCTGTATAAGTTGGCGGTTCATTCTGCAGTGGCGACTCCAGATTAATAAGGGACTAAGTTGAAAAGAAAATAAATGAGGAGAATTGGATAAACTAAACTGGCCATAGTTGATGGAAAGTAAGTGAATGAGCAAGTTAATAATTTAAGACTTTCTGCTCCATTTTAATACACTTCAATGCATTTTTTGATTGTGGAATTAAAAAATAAGTTGTTGTAGTTTTTTGTTTCTAAAACAAGCAAAACCCCAGGAAAATATTCAAATTTCAGATGATTTAAAAACTTCTAATGGGTCCACAGAATGGGACCACAGAAGTTTATAAATCATCTGACTGAAATTTATCAGAATTTTCTTCATCACTTAACTGGTGAATAATGCATGTTTACATGTTTAACAACTGCATGGAATTTGAGCAGAAGCTATGGTACCTGTTTTGAAAATGCGAGAAGATAATTTTCCCACACAAAATAAGAATAACCTACCCAGTGAATACATTTCCAGTTGTTGTCTGAGTCGGACCTTCTGCAGACTGTCGTAGAAGTTTGGCTCCGATGAGCTGCCGACTGTCGGTGGCAGTGTAAATATGCGCATAATCTTCCTCTTGTTTCTAAATAAAAGATATGCTAGTGTTAGACATTTTCAATGGACGTTTTGTATATCAGAGAGATCACAATCTACTATGACATCGAGACTTGACAGCCTTTTTCAGTCATTATGGTCTTATTTACAGCTTAATTTAAATGTATGGCCACGTAGATATTAAATATGACATGAAATGGACACTTACTTTCTGGCGTACATTAGCAGGGCGAAACTGACCAAAATAACCAGCAAGTAAACATTAGTGGCCTCGTTCCAGGCTTCGTGTACCGAATAATCTAGAGACTCCTCATCTGCCATCACCCCGTAGCCACCCATAACGAGGAGATTATTGTGCGTTTAATAAAATGCGCAAATATACAACAAAAACTATAATCATTTAGCATCAAAATCAACGACTCCAACAACAAACATTCAGTTCCGGATGAGCGAGACGAAGATGTTGCAGACTTCAAAATAAAAGCCCAATGCAACCGCTTGACAGGTTAAACATCAGCTAGCCAAAACAGTTGCATAATTTATGACTAATTTAAGAAAATTTGGATTATTGGGACTATCCACTTTTAGCTGTGACTTTTTATACATATTATGTTACACTGAATATATTGTGTGTAAAACTAATTTTATTGTATATCATATATGATTGTATTTATATTTTTATATACATTTTATAATTTTTACATAAATTATCCTAAATCGAGAGTTGTGAAGCTCTAAAATTCAGAAGCTTAGTAATTGTTTTAATATAATTGTAGTTTATACTTACTAATATTTAAAATATTGTTTTAATTACAGACTACCTTTGTGTAAAATGGCCAAATGTTTGACTGTCTTTATGTTTTATACACGTATATTAAACGTCTTTGTTATTTAAATGTTTTCTTTTTTAATAGTTTAATCTTCACACTTTCATTCTTTCGCTTTCACAAAATCAAACTTTTACTTTGACAATGCTTCCGTAATTTCAATTTGCCTCATTTCCTCCAGAACTGTAAACAGGAAATAACATCCAGGGATGCTATTGGTTGAACAAGTAGGAGGCGTGTCGGATTATCTCTCGCTGATTGGCTACCGAGGAGAACATATGATTCTGAAACAGCTGCTGTGCTCTGACTTTCCTAACAAAAACACTACAGAGAACGACCTCACAGCATAAAGTTTAATAATGTCGCTACGAGGAGTTCTGAAGTTTATTCAACGCTCTAATTTGGGGTTGCTGGTAAGGTCTTTAAAACTAACTAACTTAGCATTCAGAAATGTGACGTATCATAAATTGCTTTAAAGCTACATGTAAATCATGTCATGGCTAGAAAAAGACACCTGTCAATCTTTCTCTACATTATTCAAATGACCAGCTTATCATTCTTTCACTTTAGACTGTAAAAAATAAATTTTACTCTTTTAAATGTTAAATTAGGAAAATGAAATGTGTTTATTAATATGAAACTACACAGAAGAAAAATGATTCATTGGATTTAATAAGTTGTTGCAAACAATATACACAAGCTGAATTTAAACAAATTAAATTTAGCAATGTTCAACTTAATCTGTTAATTTAAATTCAGCTCATATAAATTGTTTGAAACAATTTGAAATTATCGTTTTTCGTTGTCTAAAGCACTTTATATTTAAATGAATAGGGGTAAAGTTGGTTTTATATTCGGATATTCAGACTTTTTCCTTAATAATATAATTTCAGAAAAGTATTCTTTCTAAATTGTAAATAGGGAAATCATATTAGCAGCAAATGAGCATCAAAGTACAATAGTGTTCACAGTTCACATATGTGTGTGTGTGTGTGTGTGTGTGTGTGTGTGTGTGTGTGTGTGTGTGTGTGTATATATATATATATATATATATATATATATATATATATATATATGCCCATACAGTCACAACACAGTGCTGGAAAACATCCATACAAACTCATTTCCACCCACACTCAAACACCACAGCCAATTTAGTTTATTCAATTCACCTTTAGCCCAAATCTTTGTACTGTCGGGGAAACTGGAGCACCTCGAGGAAACCCACATGAACATGGGGAGAACATGCAAACGCCACACAGAAATGCCAGGGACTCCAACCAATGACCTTTTTGCTGTGAGGCGACAGTGCTAACCACTGAGCCACCATGTCGACTGTGTGTATTTATATAAACGTAATAAATATACACAATACAAACACAATTATTATGTAGACGCAGTGTTTACATAATTTTGTATTAGCCACAATGTCGTATGTATTAGAAGTCATTAACTGTTTAACAGCACTAGTTCAGAACCACTTGAGGATGAGTAAATAGTACATTTCTTTTTTTCTTTGCAGTACACACTTTCACCATCAAGCAAATTTGTTCTGAAAGTACCATCTTCTGTTACACGGCACAGCAGCAGCAGCACTTCAGATCACATCAGCCGCTATCCAGTGCCAAACAGGAAGAACCTGCCATTTGATATTGTGGAGCTGATGGAAGAAGTTGAACAGAAGGTTTGCATACACTTTTACCATAATGTGAAATAAAATTTTTAATTAAAAAGTCATTAACTCAGTATTGTGTTGTTTTTAAACCCATATGCATTCGATGTTTTAGTTATAAACAAATGTGTGAGTCCTGAATCAGTGCTAATGGAATATGTGTTATGTTTGTGTACAGGGAGGATTTTTGCCCAATGTCTTCAAAGTTCTTGCCCATCGTCCTGATGAATTTCGGGCTTTCTTCTCTTATTACAATGCCCTCATGAACAAAGAAAGTGGTATGGCCTTTTATTGATGCTTTGTGGTTTTAGTAGCTACTTTTTATTAAATTATTCACATTTTTATACACATTCAGGGCTGTTTTACTCAAAAAGAGATAGCTAAACAACATACATAAAAAATCAGCATTTTAATAAAGGAATGCAATTTGCAAACGTTTAAGATCCTCAACATGCATGGAATATACAAAAGTTAAATAATATATTTAGCTTTTGCTTTTATCTGATACACTTTTAACTGAATTGTATGAATATATAAACTTTTTGACAAACCATAGCTGAATGAAACATTAAGTACTTTCTCAATGTGAAAGTTTATCAAAGTATAGAATGCATTTATTCACATCATTATTTTAAATCAGGTAATTGGTTGATGTTGTTTTGTTAGAAATAAAATATGACTTCATATAAATATGAAGGTTTCATAAAATGACTCTTGAGCAGTAGTGAGCTTACAAGTTCAGAAGTATTTTTTTTTAAATTACATTTTTAGCAGAGTAAAAAAAAATTTTTATCATGTTTATGTTCTCACAAAAAAGATATTTTAAAGAATGTTGGGTACTGGTAATCATTTCTGCAGGATCCCAGGACATGCTGGACTAATTGGCAATGAACAAGCCAACAAACCCCCCAAAACAGCCCTACCAGGAAAGATAAAGGAGTACAAAACTTTCAGATTGAAACCACTAATAAAAGGCTATATTCTTAACAAACAGCAAGCAGAATACAGAAATAAACTTTTTGAAATTCAGCCAGAAATACTGTAGGAAGAAGATCCCATTAATTTTTAAACTCATGACAAAATGAGATTGTTTATAGAAGATGCTGTAATAGACACACAAGACCCAAAATGTCAATATTGCAACAGAAACCAAACTGTTAAACATACATTTATGAAATGCCCTATTTTTAATGTTAACAGTTTTTATCTAGAGAGACTTTAAATGAAATGTATAAATGTGAACCCTTCTAAAATTGTACAATTCTTCTCAAAAGTAAACCTTAAAAACAGTTTTAGTTATTATTATTATTATTATTATTATTATTATTATTATTATTATTATTTATGCATTTTATATTGTGTATTATTTATTGCTGTTGATTCGTTTTAATTGTTAGAATATTTTTATAAATTTAGAAAAGTGGTATTTAAAAAAATGTGGAACTTGATCAGATTTTTTGCCATGACACAACCAGAGAAGCTGATATGGCAATAAACTCAAAATTCTCTTTCTCTCTACTGGTAACCATTGACTTTCATTGCATTTTTCCTACTATAAATGCCAAAGCCCGCAAGTTTCCAACATTCTTCAAAATATCTTCTTCAGAAAAAGAACCTCATAAAGGTTTGGAAGACCTTTTTTAATCCTGTGTGTGAATACGTGTTACAGCAATGCATCACTGTAATTTAGGTATACTAGCATATTTAATAACATTTTATTACATGGTAAATATATTAACAAATATGTATGTACATATCAACTCGGTAATAAAAAGTTGCTGGTCTGATACAAAATGGTTTGAAAATCAAGAGTAAGATTATGATTCTAAATTAAATATGATTAAATCCTTAAATGTGACTCAAAAGACTTTTAATTGGTTTAAGATCAGGATTACGTGTTTACTTCGATAATTACAGTACAGTTAATAATTTGACAACTTGTTGGATCCTCTATTAACATGCTATATCATCCATGTAATTTCAGGCTATTATCATTATCAATATCATATAAAAACACATGAAGTGAATTTAAAAAATATGCATCACATCACAATATTTTTAAAAAATTTGTGAAGAAAATAATCATTAAAAGTTGACAAACATACCAAATGCACCATGTATATACTGCCTGACAAAAGTCTTGTCGTTGATCCCTAAACTTTAAGTTGATCATTTAGAAAAGTGGCAGATATTTTTGAACTGCATCCCAATCATCAAATACTGCAGAAGACCTATTGGAACCCGCATGAACCTAGGACTCTCACAGATATCAGTCAAGTTTGGTGAAGGAAAACTCATGGTTTGGGGTTACATTCAGTATGAGGGCGTGCAAGAAATCTGCAGAGTGGATGGCAACATCAACAGCCTGAGGTAACAAGACATTTGTGCTGCCCATTACATTACAAACCACAGGAGAGGGAAAATTCTTCAGCAGGATAGCGCTCCTTCTCATACTTCAGCTTCCACATTAAAGTTCCTGAAAGCAAAGAAGGTCAAGGTGCTTCAGGAGTGGCCAGCTCAGTCACCAGACATGAACATTATTGAGCATGTCTGGGGTAAGATGGAGAAGGCATTAAACATAAATCCAAAGAATCTTGATGAACTCTGGGAGTCCTGCAAAAAACCTTCCTTCGCCATTCCAGATGACTTTATTAATAAATTATTTGAGTCAATGCAGAGATGTATGGATGCAGTCCTCCAGGCTTATGGGAGTCATACACAATATTAATTCTTTTTCCTCTGCACCATGACTTTATATTCTATACTGTACATGATTTCTGTTTAGTAACAAGACTTTTGTCTAAGCAAAGTCAGACCTTACTGTCTAAATGATTAAAAGTCAAGGCATGATCATATTTTATTTTGGTAAAATAAGCGTAATCTAGAGGCCTTTGTCTTTCATATAAGCCACTTCTAATAGCAAATGATCAACTAGTAGTCAAGTTATTGTTTATTGTTCTTATAACTTGGATAGGTGACAAGACTTTTGTCAGGTAGTGTATATAATTTTTATATGACATAGTTTACCTTTAATTAAAAATATATCTGTTGAAATGTAATTATTCCATGAACTTAGCATGTGATTATTGTTATTGTGCTTTTATAACAGGTGGTTTGTCAAAAGCAGATCGGGAACTGATTGTTGTTGCGACCAGCGCACACAATAACTGCTTGTATTGTGTGGTATCCCACAGTGCATTGCACCGCATCTATTCCAAAAAACCCACGCTGGCTGATCAGGTACTTGCATTTGCATCAAAATAATGTAAAACACCCTCTCAGTCTCCATATTCCAGTAACCCTATAAATAAGAGAAGGCTGATTGGTGAAAGTGAGAATCAAGTAGGTTTTTAATTGCTTTTAATGGCACCGTCTGGACCCACAGGTTGCAGTAAATTACAGGGTTGCCGATGTGAGCGGCCGTGAGAAAGCCATGCTGGACTTTGCTCTGACCATTTGCAGGAGTGAAACGGTAACAGAGGAACATTTCAGCACACTTGAGGCTCATTGTTTTGACCGAGAAGATATTTGGGACATTGCTGCCATCGCTGCTTTCTTTGCCTTGTCGAACCGCATGGCCCATCTGACTGACATGAGACCTAACACAGAGTTTTATAACATGGGCAGAGTCCCCAGAGACAAAGCCAAAGCTTCTGATGAATAGACTCATATCAGACTTATACTATTTTACACTGATCATTAATAATCATCTTATCGTTAAACTGTTGTTACAACTCTAAGAGCCCTCTCTCCTTCAGTAAAGTATGCATATTTAACTTTTGAATTTCTATACATATCTGTGCTCTCTTTCCTGTGTTCAACCTCACAAGGAACTCTTGGTTGAACACTTTTAGGTTAACTTAAATTTGTTAGGTGCATTTACATGAATATATATATAACATACTGTACAGTTTTGTGAACCACATTTGGGATGAATTAGCACAAATAGCTCTGATCTTTTTTTGATTTGCTTTTTGTGTTCAGAACATGAATTGAAGTGTCTAAAATACTTGTAATATAACATATGAAGAATATAATTAATAAATTAGTTTGATACATCTGGACTGTTCTTTAGTAATAAATGCATTTGTAATTTGATATTTCAAAGAATCATTTCATATCCTGTTTTTTTTTTTTTTTTTTTTTTTTTAAGGAGTAAATGCAAACAGCAGGCTTTTTGATTTTTTTACATTCACCCATTAATGAAAATGTGATGATTAGATTCAAAATAATTTAGTTGCAAAATATTTAATAATAAAATAATGATTTTCCAGTCCAAACTGACCCAGAATGTAAAAATAAATGCATCTCGTCATCACAAAAATGTAATTATAGAATATTATTAATGTAAAAATGCTTTCTCTGGACATCTCACTTGTTCAACAAGTATGTTTTCCTACTCCTTATGATGTATCAAGTTATTTATTTTATATTTATTTATTTATTTCTGCTTGTTTGTTTGTTTTGTTTGTTTGTTTGTTTGTTTGTTTGTTTTAGGATGGGATTTTTTGTGTGTGTTGCAGGATCCAAACCTAAATATAAAATTAGAATCCTGATACACTGTTTTCGGAATATTGTAAACTCTCTAGTCTGTTCATCCTGGGCTCAATCAATCAAGTGGAAATTAATTTCCATTGTGAAACCTACTTAGTGGACTTTTAAGAAAAAACATTCAGATAGATTAGGAAAAGTTAAATTTTACTCTATACTTATGTTAAAGCCAAATGAAAAATAATAAAACAATAAATAAATAGAAAGACTCTCATGCATGTGCCCTAAAATTTTACACTGTTGTGCTACTGTTTAAAAGGATCATTCTCCCTAAACTTTACATTTTGTATAGTAAATTAGGTTTAGTTTTTCTTTTAATTTTTAGTAACCAGTACCCATTGACCTGCATAACACTATAAAAAATACTCGCAAATTAGCCGTTTTAGGTATTTTGTGATTCATATTCTAATTTTTCTGCTTTTAAATTGCATTATGGGACCTTGATTTTTTTTCCAACAACTTTTAACCTAAAAAGGTTAGAAAAAGTGACATTTATTAACATTTTTAATAGTTTGAAGTGACATATTGTCTGATTTGGTGTTGCATATCACAGTACAAAAACCTTTGTTAACCACAGCCATATCACCTTGCAACCCAAGAGCTGTTACTTACCAAGGGCCTACTCGCACTATGCTATCTGAACCGTGCACAGGCTCCTTTCCTGGATCGTTTGAGAGTGCTCTGAATCGGGCTCACGTACGGTTCACTTGGCCAGCCCTGGCCCGGTTGAAAGAGGTATGCCAGAGCGCGGTTCACTTGGGCTTTGGCTTGGTACGCTTGTAGTATGAGTGCAAAGCATGCCTGAGCCTGAAACTGAAGATAAGACGTGACTTTCACGGGATGGTATTTATATGTGTTTATTAATTATTCTTACTGTTCAATGAACACAAACTGTCATAGATTATTAAAGATACGTCCTAAAGCTAAGCTGGGCTGAGCCTGGTCAGTACCTGAATGGGAGACCACATGGGAAATCTAGGTTGCTGTTGGAAGTGGTGTTAGTGAGGCCAGCAGGGAGCTCCTAATGCCCCAGAATAGTGAAGGTGACACTATACTGTCAGTGAGCACCATCTTTTAGATAAGATGTTAAATCGAGGTCCTGACTTTCTGTGGTTTAAAATTCTCATGGCACTTTTCTCGTAAAGAGCAGGGGTGTCCTGGACAAGTTCCCTCCATCGGCCTGTACCCATCATGGCCTTCCAATCATCCCATCCACCAAATTGGCTCTAACACTGTCTCTCGACTCCACCTATAGCTGGTGTATGGTGACCGCACTGGCGCCGTTGCCCTGTGGCTGCTGTCACATCATCCAAGTGGATGCTGCACACTGGTGGAGGGGTGGAGAGATCCCCCTCATGATTGTAAAGCGCTTTGGGTGTATGGCCATCCAAAATAAAGGCACTACTGTATATAAATACACATTACATTACATTTGTCATAAACTGCCTGTGCATTTTCAGTTATTTTACAGACTTACTCCTTTATATATTATTTTTTTATACATTATTTTTTCAAACTACTAAAATGTCAATGAAAGTCACTTTGTTTAAAAGTCGACAGAGCAGAGATCGACATCCCGTTAATGACCAGGAATAAAAGAATACCACTTGTGAATCACAAAATATAGAAATTGTTAATTAACAGATATTTTTACAGTGTAAGAAAAAATGCTATGGAAATCAATGGCAACTGATTTCTAACATTATTTAAAATATTGTATTTTGTGTTGAACTGGAACAAAATAGATGAAGACAGAATTTTCATTTTTGGGTGAACTATCCCTTTACGCCTCCCTAATTTGTTGCATTAAAGAGGCAAAATGTAATTAGTGATAACAACAACTAACAGTTATGTAATGTATTATTTTATAACATACTGTATATTTTAGTATTTTGTTAGTAAAAATTCAGCATTAACAACATGTATTCAAAACACATTCATAGATTTTCTTTTTTCCAAAATAATTTATTACTGTAACATTACAATTATTTATAAGTTATTTACAAGTTAAGTATCGTTTCTTGTTTCCATTCACCATCATCCTGTGCCAGCAAGTGTGTAAAAGTCAAACATCTTCATTTGGATCTGGGGTCTGGTTCATCTGGTCATCTGGTAAAATTTCAGACAGCAATAAAATACACTGTATCAGTGCTTTGCAGTACAACAATTATTGTAATTATTTATAGGGGTTAAAGGTGTATGAATCATTATCAATTCAGATTTATTTTCTGATTACTCAAAAATAAGAATTAGAGATGTATCTTAAATCTATGAAATCCCTGGTTCCAAGATACATGTTTAAGTATAATTGAAATGCACATACCTGATCATATTCACAATTTTATACGAGATATGTTTTTAAAGCAGAATCAAAATGCACAAACCTTATCAAGGTATATACAGTTAAAGTCAGAATTATTAGCCCCCCTAAATTATTAGCCCCCTGTTTATTTTTCCCTAATTTCTGTTTAACAGGGAGAAGATTTTTTCAACACATTTCTAAATATAATACTTTTAATAACTCATTTCTAATAACTGATTTACATTATTTTTGCAATGATGACAGTAAATAATATTTTACTAGATTTTTTTCAAGACACTTCATACAGCTTAAAGTGACAATTAAAGGCTTAACTAGGTCAATTAAGTTAACTTGGCAGGTTAGGGTAAAAAAAAAAGCTTAAAGGGACTAATAATTTTGTTTCTAAAATGGTGTTTAAAAAATTAATAACTGCTTTTATTCTAACCAAAATAAAACAAATAAGACTTTCTCCAGAAGAAAAAATATTATCAGACATACTGTGAAAATTTCCTTGCTCTCTTAAACATCATTTGGGAAATATTTAAAAAAAGAATATAAATTCAGAGGCGGGCTAATAATCATGACTTCAACTATACAATTTATATATAGTGTTTTGTGAAAGTCTGGGAGACCCCTTTCCTGGGTAAGATATTGTTCACAATATATGTTTAAATATCATTCACAGCACATAATAATAAGTCAAATGATTAAAATAACATATTCCTAATACTGTGTGGGATTAACTTTAAGCTGCGACTGCCTCTCTCAAACTTCCTGTTGTTCTTCATAACAATTCTTCATATCCCGCAGATTCTTCAAGTTTCCAGCACATTAACCCTTCCAGCAGTGACCGTTTGATTTTGAGATAGAATAGTTGGCGATTCATTGGTGACCCCTGGTAAATACAGGACTAAGTCGAAGGAAAATGAATGAATGATTTCACAGGTACCTTAAGTACAATTTATCTTGATCTTCTAATTCAAAACCTACATGTAAATATCTTTTATGTAAAATATTTTACTCAGGACAGTGCTAAATATATTTAAAAAAATCTCTTTTTGACAGATTCTGCAAGGGATTATTGTTTATATGTATGTACTGTAACACTGTTTAACTGAAATCCACATTCCTTTTTGTATTAGCTGCATTCCTGAAGCACAATTGAAATGTACATTCCTTAACAAAACCATGGTTCTTGGAAACCTGGAACCAGTTCCAAACACAAACCAGTTCTGAAAACCCAGCCCTACTTAAAAATGTTCAAAATACCTCATATGCAGGTGGAGGAGTATTTGGGTTTGGACCATAGTTTCGTGGATGAGCAGCTGAAACTTGGCTGTAGGGTGGTGGAGGTGTTCTTGGTACTGGACTGTAGTTTGGTTGAGATGCGCTGGGGACCGGCCCGCAGTTCGGCAGAGATTGCTGATTGTACAAGGCTGAACTAAAAGGCTGCGCCAATGCAGAGGAATCCGACTGGCTTGTTAGCACAATATGGTTGACAGGCAAATCTGACTGATTCACATAACTGACCATAGCCTGCCTGGACTGAGAGAGAACCAATATTATGTTTAATATAAATTGAATTAATCTGATTCGCTTTCACAGGATGTTTAAAGCTGTTGATGATTAATTGTTTACCTTTGGATTGCAGCAGCAGGGACAGAAGGTTAAGGCAACAGCCATAGAGAAGATGAACATCATAATATCACACGCCAAGAGGAGAAAGCAGGTCACACCCTGAGTAAATAAAAGATACACGGTGATTATTCAAATAATTCAAATATGAGTAAGAATCAAAAGCCGGTTTCCAGATGTAAAGAGAATAAACAATGGGTTAGGTTACTGTCACATCTCACTATCTAGGTTTATACCAGCTTCTTTGTTTGTAATTGTATTTTGGCAAGCCGCTTTAACATTTAATCTATCTAGTATCTGTGGTAATATCTGTTTTAATGCTACTAGTAACTATTTTTAGGTACTAATATCTTTAAAATAAACAACTAGTACTTATTATTTACTAGTGCTTATTTATTGGTACCAGTACTTTTTTTAACCATTTCACACATTTCTAATTCACAAGTTCTAAATACTCCCACTTTTTGATTTGACTTGTTTATAATGCATTTCTTTACAGTTTTTATGGCGACGTGTCTCGTTTATCATATGAAACACTGCACTGATTAATGCTTATATCAATTTTTGTTTCTTTT